CAGCTTAGTTGATGATTAGAAAACACTCAGAAAAAAGAAAAGCCACGCTATTGTATAATATCGTGGGGGAAAAACCATCAACTTGTTTGTTAAAATTAATATTTTCTGAGGAACAGTTCTATCAATATTTTCACATGCTGCGTCATTTCAAATGATAAGATTACTTGAAAAATATTTACATGTATAGTAAAATGTCACTTTAATAAACTAGTTCCTGAGAAATTTGACATCATTTTGTGTATGATTTTAGGAATCTCCTTATTACCTGTTTGTTTATGTGTGAAATAATTGTTGTTATCATATTCAAAAGAAATTATTGTTACAGAGAGAAACCAGTTAAATTAATTGCACGTGTACTTGAAATGGATTGCATTGAAGATTGCTGACGTAAATGCAAAGTTTGACCTTTTAATTCCAAAAACAACCGTAATTCCATGTCATTAACAAACTAGTTCTCTTGTTTCACCGAACAGTATTATAAAAGCTTCCTCGTAATACATAATTAACGTTTTATCATCATTTCTTAATTGTTAAAAGAAAATCTTTTAAAATCTTCCGATTGAATGACATGATTGATTTTCTTTTTAATTAGATATTTTAGTATATTAGAAATATTAGTTTGAAAATCAATTTAAAATGAAAAAAGGCCTTATAAGAGTCATGGAATGAGAAATATTCATAAATTTTTTTTTCTCGGCATTTAAAACAATGTTTAGTGTTTCTTCAACAAAAACAGTTCAAAGAAGTAGAAACACAAATTTTTCCCCTTTGATGATCTTGTGAATATTTAATTAGAATGAAATTTATTTAAATGGCTTATAACATGTTTAGGACATTTAAAATATTTGTAGTGTTGGAAATACATTAGGTTACGTTTTCGTTTCATTTTAAGGGAATAATATATAATGCATATTAAAGAAAGTTAGATATCTGGTATTAAGATCAGTATCAAGTTTAGTATGATCCACTAAATATAATGTTACAATGTCACTTACAATGGCAAGCAAAACAACAGAAAATAAATGCTGCATTTTAAGTACTAATACACTGACCTCCTAAAGTAAAGCACAACCAATCTTTTGTGCTTAAGGTATCCGACTACGTTCGGAACCGTGATTTTATAAAAGCGTATAAATGGATAATATTTAAGATATTTAGTGTCACTTAGATTAGAAAATGTATATAAAATTGTTTTAAGAATATTATTACAATAAAAAATTATTTAAGTACAGTATTTTGACAAAAAATAAACATAGAATGATCAATTTTCAAATTATTCTCCTTTTGTGAAAAATGCTTCTATTATAATAATATTTTGCCTGTATATAGCTCTGATCTCTCTACAGAGGATCAACTAGAGTTTTTGAAATATATAACTTAGAAGTGGGTTTATCCATATTTTACGACAACAGAGGGGAGGAATTTTAAGAAAAAAAACACCGATGATTATTTCAATTAGTGGTAACTCTGAAAATAATGTGAATTTTTCAAAAAACCTAGTTCAAACTCTCTGGAGAAGTCTTTACTCTGTTTAAGCGAAAAATTATTATTTTAGAAGCATTTTTTGTAAAAGGAGGACATTTTGAAGAAAAATTATTCTTAGTTAATTTTTTGCCAAAATATTCTATTTAAATAATTTGTTTTGTTAAAATATCCTTAAAGCAATTTTATACATGTATTCTAATCTAAGTGACATTAAATATCATGAAAATTATCCATTTATGCGCTTTTTTAAAATCACGGTTCCGAGCGTAGTCGGATACCTTAAACTGAAAATGAAAGAAAATAAAAACAGTACATTTTGAGTAATTCTGCTTTAAACACTTATTTGTATTAAAATTTTGCACACTTTTTTTTCAATATAAAGCATTTTTACAAATAAAGGGTGACATTTTTATGTAAAATTTCTCTCTCTTTGATAAAAAAAACTGGCAGAATCATGGGAAAAGGAAGACTTAACAAATGGTTTTTAGTAAGGAATACGTTCACCCCTATTTGGAATGCATTAGGGATACCGCCTTTGGATACTGCCAATTAAGTTGTTGAATACAGGAATAGAAAGCAACACCTAAAAAAGAAGCAACTTTTGTTCTTGCTGATTTAATGAAATTGGAGAGAGAGGAGGGACTTAAGACATTCTCTCACTTGTCAAGGTAATTCTACAGATGATCTTTCGGATTAAAATCTGGAGATCAAGCTGGCCATACCATTCATCAAAAGATCTAGTTCGGGGAGGTCGAACTCTGTCATCCATTAAAATGAATTCAGGCAAATAACAGCAGGGTACAGAATGCTTCATGATGCGAGGAGAGATCTCATTTCAACTTTTCACAGCAGTCAGAGTTTTGTCATGTAACACAGGCACGTTAGAGTTGAGATGGGTTCTCACAAGCATTACCCTTAATTAACTTCTGAAGTTATTTAACTACGATGTCATTTGAAGTCTTTTTTTTTTGAGAATGAAAGATAAGTAGTTATTTCATTATAATCCTTCTTTATTAAGAATCAAGCTAAGTTTAACCGTTCCGCAGATTTAATTTATTTTGGATATTGATTGAATGTTGGTTATAAAGATTAAATTTGACCATCATTGAATAAATATATCTTACTACAGATGAAATGTATTCATCATAATGTTACCACCCACGAAGAATTTAGGTCAAACCATGATTTCACGGCCTTTGTTGACAGCGTTTTCCAGAAATGTTAGACTGGCTGTATCTGCTGCCTTGTTCTCTCCTAATCACTATCTGAATCTCCAAAATATATCTTGACTAATTTTTGACGAGAACAGAAGTATATTACTGCGTGGTTCAGTAACGTGCTTTCTTAATCAACGTAAGCGGGTATTTTGATGTCATCCATTAAGAGGGACATACACAAAGAAGTCTCCTTGAATGTAAAAATGTCTGTCCACTTTAATAGCATAGTTGGTGACCCTTATGTGGTACAATGATCTGAAATGAGACAAGGCTTAGTAGTGTTCCATTTCCTTTTGGGCAAAAGAATCATCAAACCCTCTAGTGCATCAGTTATAACCCGTGCAAGGCCTGGAGAAAAGGACCTCTAAAAACTAAACTTTTAAATTCCAAATAATCTCAGAGTTTTTGGATAGTACTACGAGACACATTATCCGTCTAACAACATAACCTTTCGGTAAACCAGTTTCCACCAATCCAATCGCCGAATCAGGTAAACAAAATTTTCTAGACATGGTTAGCAATGCTTTTTAGTACCAATAAATGAAGATATATAAGCATAAGAAATTAAATTTCAAAAGTAAAATATTTTTTAGTTTCAACTGACTGTAGATTATAGCATCTTTAAAAATGTTGGTGGACATAATTATTTTATAATGTCTTATTGAAGTTAGTAGTGATTTATATATATAATCCTTTAAGACCCACCTCGCTTGATTGTGTGGGCTAGATATTCTTATCTCTTTAAGACCCGAAATATTTTTTATCTTTAAATATTGCAATGATTTTGGTTATTGACGCTATACTGACCCCAATGAAACTGGAAAAAAATAATAAAAATTTTTTTGCTACAAATCTTGAAACATAAAGTGTTCCATCACGAACTTTCGGGCTGGGTCTTAAAGGGATAAACCCTACTTTTTACTATTAATGAACTTAAAAAAAAGAATTGCATCTTATCGATTGGTGGCCTCTATATTTTATTAGATAAAAACATAATTGTTCATTCAACTAAACAAATTAATTCATTTTATTTGTTTTTGAAGCTTTTTTCAATTCCTACTATTAGCTCACACACTCTCTCTCCATATTTATTTATTTATCTTGGGAGAATTTTCAATAGTTAATAAAATACATTTTAAAGAGCTCAATTGAGCTGAAATTTTATATACATGATTATTTTGGATGACAATACAGTAATTTAATTATAATTAATAAAAATTAATTGATTAAAACGAATTATTCAAAGAATTACAAATACAGCCACGTTGGTATCATTTTTGGCGACTTGTGTCAAAACATGTAAAGGTTTTTTTTCTCACATTTTAAATCGTTCATTTGAGCTGAAATTTTCTATACACTGTTGTTTTGGGTAAAAATACGATAATTTAATTATAATTAATTAAAATTAATGTAGGAATTGACTTAAAATTTTTTATAATACTTGTTTACTGTTCAAAACTGCTTAAATCTAAATATTAAAAAAATCGAAGGGTATTTATTTAGATAAGATTCAATGTAATTGGAATAAATCTTGAAGAAAAACAAACTAAATACGAAGATAATAAGGTTTCAGAAACAAACCCAAAGCATTTGCTTATATTAATGTTACATTTGACTTTCCTCCTTTCAAATTAAAATTACAAATTTAACTTAATGTATCCGGTTATAATTCTATTAAATTAGATAATAATAATTATAGTTTCATGTTATACAAACATGTGAGTTCAAGCTCACGCATACACTTAAATTGTATTAAAATTCAAAATTCAGAATTTGTTTTAACACGTGATATTTGATTACAAATTTTCTTTCCTTTATTTTTTACAAATCAAAACTTTCCTTTAAAACAAGATCATCGAAATATTATGTGTAAAATACAATTATTTTTCTTAAAATATCGTTTAAAGTCCAAACAAATTTGTACGACAATACTCCAACTATCAAACATTGTTAGAGATGAACAATAATTATATTATATGGAGGGCTAATTACTGCTATGATAATGATATATTGAAAATTCTTCATCAAATTATATACAAATATTTTTAATTCAATTCCTACTATTAGTTCACAATTTCCCTATATATATCTTGTTCAAATTTTCAATCTTTAATGAAATACTTTCTATTCATCCATTCAAGTTGAAATACATTTTTTAAAACTTGTAGTGAATGACATTTGATGTTAATACAGTTTTTTTAAATATCAATTCATTAGTTAAAATTAATTAATGAATAAATAGTAACAAACAAAAATAATAGTCCAGCAGCATATATAAAAAGGAAAATCGCTCATTGTGTCCCTGCAGCGCAAGGGATAGCGCGTTGAACTTTTAATCCAAAGGTCGTGGTTTTGAATCTTACCTGGGACGGCATAATTTTTCAGAATATGATTTACGAATTAATAGATAGTAACAAACAAAAATAATAGTCCGACACTATGCATAAAAAGGAAAACCACTTTCTATTTTGCAACTTAAAATTGTGATTCTATCATATGTATATACATATTTATATGAATTGTAATTATTTGATATAAAGCGACTATGAAATAAAATTTTCTTTGTTGACCTAAGTAGGAATTGACTAAAATTTTTTTATTACACTTGCTTTTTCATGTTCTGCTAAATTAGGAATTAAAAATTCGTGGGTTACGTGATAAAACATTTCCGGACTTGAATGGAAAGACCTAGTAAGGAACTAATTGGTGAAGCCACAATTTAAATATGCGTAATAATTTCAGTGGATTTGGTGTGTTTTTTCTCTAAGGTGGAGGTTAAAGTACATACAATACTTTAAAAGGTATCCGACTATGTTCGGAACCGTGATTTTCAAAGCTCATAAATGGATAATTTTCATAATATTTAGTGTCACTTATATTAGAATATATGCATAAAATTGTTTTAAGGACATTTTGTTCAAAAAATTTATTTAAATACAATATTTTGGCAAAACATTAACATAGAATAATCTTTTTTCCATATGTTCTCCTTTTGTGAAAAATGCTTCTATTATAATAATATTTTGCCTGTATATAGCTCAGACCTCTGTTCAGAGGCTCAACTGGAATTTTTGAAATATATAACTTAGAAGTGAGTTTATTCATCTTTTACGACAACAGAGGGAAGCAATTTTAAGAAAAAACGCGAATAATTATTTCAATTGGTGGTAACTCTGAAAATGACGCGAAATTTTCAAAAATTATAGTTGAGCCTCTGTAGAGAGGTCTGAGATATATACAGGCAAAATATTATTATAATAGAACCATTTTTCACAAAGGAGAACATTTGGAAAAAAGATTTTTCTAAGTTAGTTTTTTGCCAAAATATTATATTTAAATAAATAATTTTTGTCAAAATGTCCTTAAAACAATTTTATGCATGTATTCTAATCTGAGTGACTCTAAATATCATGAAAATTATTCATTTATGCGCTTTTTTAAAATCACGGTTCCAAAAGTAGTCGTGATACCTTATGGGAAATAATGTAATAAACAAAAATGGCAGAATTACAGTTTAACATCCTGTTGCAGAAGAACAATGTAATTTGATTGCCTGTTTATTACTGTTGCACTTTTGAAGCAACACAAAGATATCCCCGCGACGTTCATCGAAATCGAAGGATTATTGAGGATTGACTGCGTAGTTTTGAATCAGGGTGAAGTGATGCGGTCGACATCTTAGCTGACACCCGACTCTCCAAAAACATGAGGACCTTGATCCCTACTAGAATTAATATACATCAGGACCTTCACTGGAAGAATCTTCAGTAGGATCAAGTTTTGAACCGGCTGGACAGAAATAATACCGGGCACGTTAGCTACCGTGGTCACACAATGCAATTTAAAGCAAAGACTCTAACTCCAGTCCCCATTGGACCGGCACCGCTTCGCGGAAAAATTTGACCCACCCTTAGGGATTTTTACATGATCGCGTTACATAAAATTTCTCATTCAAAAAATAAGTATAAAAGGTTGTTCCACAAATTTTTTATGTCAATGACAAAATTTAAGCATTTAGAATCTATAATTTTGTATCTGAAGCTTGAAAACACCGGAAAAAGCTCACATTTGTCGTACCGCACATTTTAAAAAAAGAATTAACGGGAGTCACAGCAGAGGATATATATATATATATATATATATATATATATAGCTGTACAATGTAGAAAAGTAAATTGCACCTAGTTGTGTAAATGAAGAGGTCCCCAAATGAGCTTTCTGCACTTTGCTCCTAACGTAGCGATAATCACCCGCGGGACGCATGTGGCCACCAGCCTATTTTGAGTGGCCTGGTCATGACCTATTGCACCAAGAAATTCAATTATTGGAGAACATTGTACAAAAAATTTAACAAGAAATTCTATCAATCAAGCAATCATATATATCAATTTGGCTTATTAATTGTTTTTTTTAATTGTAGAATGTAAGCAAGAGCTTGGTCACAGATGAAAGAAATTAGAAATTATCCCATAACTCAGTAAAAATTCATAAAAATAAATATTTTTGTGTGTGTGTTCGATAGAAAAGTTAATGTAGTAATTAAATAAAAGCCAAAAAATGAGTTTTAATATTTTGATCAATTTTGTTTGCCAACGTTGCTTTGGTCTTATAGTCTGCTTTTTTCCATTATACGCCCCGCATGAAATAACTGGCATGTGTATGGGGCCTGCATGAAATAACTGGCATGTGCATGTGGCCCGCGTGAAATATTTATCATGTGCATGCGGCCCGGCGGGAAAAAAGGTTACGTACTCCTGTCCTAACGTATACCTTTTAAAACCGGTGCGCTCATGATGATGAGCTTGCATATGCTGGTTTTGTATATAGGATAATAATTACAACAATTAAATTAAATGTAATATACAAAGTTATAGGTATATAATAACAATAGTTATATATTTATACATTTAAATTATTATCATAAGTAATTTATAAAAAATGTTACAGTTAATTCATGGGGAGTTGTTCTTTTAATACTTGAGAAAGTTTCTCAGTTAAAAAAGCTCACCTGTCCACCAAATTTTTTCACAAATTTTACTGGTTTGCAGGCTAAAAAACATTCAGGAACACGCTCGCCTGGATCCAGTGACGAGAACGACACATCCCCAGAGCTTAGTGTTACGTACTCCAGTTTTCCATAATACATCCTCGTCACGCCTAAGAAGGATTTAATGAGCAGCAGCGCTTTTTTAGTTATATAGCGTAAACATAATGTTTTACAGTATTGCATCACAAATCAGCTGTTTTTTAACGCTCTAAACCCTGACAACTTGGCAATTAGTCATGAAAAAAAAGTTTTTAAGCAAATATATAAATAAATATATAAAATGAACACAAATAAAATTGCAATTCCAAAAAGAAAATTGAAATTGAATCAGAGAGATCCAAATTACATGCAATATTTGGGATAAAAAGGGTAAGAAAACAAAAATTATCCAAAATAAATAAAAAATACAATTAAAAATAAAGTTAAATTATTTTGAATTATATTATTAATATATAATTAATAAAATTAAATAATGATTTAAAGTATTACCACAAAATTTTTGTTATATATTTTCTGAACTAATAATTTCAGTAGTGGGTAAGACGTGAGTATAAAGAAATCATTACAAAGTACAAATTGGACAGATATATAACGAATTTTTTGATAAAAAGTACAAAACTGAAGTAAATTGAGTTTTTTAGCTATTGATTAACACGACAAAACGGCTCTTATAGCTTCTTTAAAATAAGATAGGCGGCCAGTGAATTTTTATGATGATGGAATCTTAATAGATTTGACGAAAAAGTCGGGATTTTGAAATCAGGAATTATTTAATAAATTATCTTCTCGAATATTATTGTGAGATATTTTAAGATTACAGAATATTGTTAAGTTCATTGGAAAACGGAAAAGTACTTATGGATAAGTTATTGCCGAAAAATACTCACGATAGGCCCTCTTTTCTTCAGAGTATGTATGCTTTTGCTGTTTTCTTTTACCTCCCATTTGAATTTAAACTATTTGAATTAGCTTGAAGACCCCTTTTAAAGATAAACTAGCTGCCCGGCGTTGCACGGGCTATCTCTACTTTTATAAATTTTCCCTTTCTTTCACAAAATCAGAGCATCTAATACTCATTTTCAAAATGACTTCAAAATGAATTCCACTGCTTAGCGCGGCGTTGCTCGGGCTTTCTCTTTTCCTCATGACACCAGCATTTCTGTTTGTGTTTGTACGCGCACAATGTGAGTGATTTCTAAAATTATGTCAAAAAATTGCCCTTTTTTGAAATAGCTGCATGGCCCAGCGTTGCACGGGCTATCTCTACTGCTATAAATTTTCCCTTTCTTTCACAAAATCAGAACTTCTAATACTCATTTTCAAAATGACTTCCCCTCCTCCACCGCTTAGCGCGGCGTTGCTTCGGCTTTCTCTTTTCCTCATGACACCAGCTTTTCTATGTGTGTGTTTGTACGTGCACAATGGGAGTGATTTCTAAAATTATGTCAAAAAATTTCCCTTTTTCGAAATTTGTTCCATTCCACTTATTTTCTTAAATAGACGATGTACTTTTTAATCAACAAAGAATTAATTTTGTAATGAAATAATAGAAATAATCCTTTTAAAAACACACACACACACACACACAAGTATAAGTAATAATTTCTATAAGTAATAATTTCCCTTTTTCGAAATAGCTGCATGGCCCGGCGTTGCACGGAATTGAAAAACACATTTTTTTGTTTTTTTTAACCTAATTTTTAAGATATTTTATCAATCTTTGTACAGATTACGTATAATATTGTTCTACACGCGAAAAAAAAAAGAAAAACACGAACTTTTTTTTAGTGTAAAATAATTTTTTTTCATTAATGCGAAAGAAAGTTCAAGCGAAACAACTTATAATTCGTATTTAAAAAAAGGAACCGATTTCGACTCATTTTAAAACAATCGTGAAAAATACAAAATATAATTATTTTGTAAAATAAATTATAGCATATCGTGGCGAAATAAATGATCTTTACGAATCTGTAATTATTTTTTGTGTGAGTTTCATGAAAAAAATTAGATCGTGTTTTAAAAACCTCTGAAAAAAAAGAAGTTCCGAAAATATTTAAAAAAAATTGTAAAATAATTAAATTGAAAAAGATATATATATATATATATATATATATATATATATATATATATATATATATATTTTATATATATATATATATATATATATTTATATATATTTTATTATATTAATTTTTAAATAAATTTATTTGCACGCAAAGTTTTTCTATAAGTAATAAATGAAAGAAACATTAACAGATTGCTATTAAAAAATGATTGCTTTTTCTAAACGTTTGATTAAAGTGTAATGTGAAATTGAAGTTTCT